AAATATTATCATATTATTATAACAGCTCCCGTCACGAAAATCTCGGCGTACCGCAAGAAATCATAATATTAACACGTCACGTTYGAGCCCACACCGATTTCAATTATACATCAATATTATTTTATAAATATTATTATGTAGAAACGATTCGCCACGTAGGTGACTTAGGGCTTTCGGTTTTTAGTTAACGGGAATCGCACACGTTGATCTCGCGAACATGTTGATGGATGTTGATTTTGACGATGACACGCCGAACCGATGCACCACACTCGTMTACTATGCATGGAAGATATTCACGTGCTTATTCCTGCACGTGCTACTTGTCACCATGGTCGTACTGTATTGTTTGCTCGGAGCCTTTGCTTTCGAACGTCTGGAATCAGCGAACGAAATTGAAGTAAGTCAAATAAAAATAATGATAATAATATCGTAGGTACCACCTAAACGTTTTTAAGACTTAAGTGATTCGTGTAAATTATAATTATTATGAGCTTAAAACTATAATGACGGATCAACAATTAGCAGTTATATATGTTGTTTATTAGTTTAGATACTATTACAATATTATAATGTGTCAGGGTTCTTTTAAAGAGTATAATGATAATGAATATTATATATAGGTATATATTATATACAAATATATAATATTGAATATATTATGTATATACATATATAATTTGTACTTGAATTTTAACAAGAACTTTGTTTTCTCGTATATTTCGCTGATACAATATTAATATAAGGTACTTATAAGGTACCTATATATGAAAAGACAAAATGTTATTGAAGTAGTTATACAAAATACAAGTATTGTTCAGCTTAAAAATAAATTACTGTATAGAATGTGTGTGTAAACATTATAGCTAATAATATAAGGACGATGATACAAATTAAGAATATTTATTTTTAGGTAGGTATGTTCATCGTATAAGTATATTATTTTAATAATATATGGGTAATTAATTTATATGTACTTTATTTCTATAATATTATATAGTATTTTGTTTATATTAAGAGTTTTATATATTAATAATTTATTGAGTGTAAATCTCTTCATTCGTTTGACTTACTTAATATCTAAGATGGACAAATAGTATCAGCTTTGTTATTATACGATTATATACTTATTTAGATGCRATACATTGACGATTGTTTTAACTGTACCTAAACACTCATTATCTGGAATAGTGTTTATGTTTTTGAAATTATTTGTTTATTCAATTTGAAGTCATTTAAAAATAAAAAAATTTTATTGATTTATTGATATCGTTATTATGTTTTTAAAGATTTTTACAATTTGCAATGAAAACATATGTTTTTAATTTCGTATTCTGGAGCAGTATTTATTTCC